GATAGGACCATTCATTCTAACAAAAAAAAAAAAAAATCATGGTTCCAACTACAATTTGTATTATAACAATAAAAAAACAAAATAAGATTTATCAAAAGAAAAATAGGAAATGATGAAAGTATATACCTTGAAATATCAACCAAGACTGTGCTTGGATGGGGGCTCTGAGTGATTTTTTTTTCAAGAGAAGTTTAAAATTTCACCTACAATGCAGCCACATCCTTATGTTTTTACTTTCCTTTTGTTTTCTTAAAAGCTGTCACATTTAGGGCTGGAGAGATGGCTCAGCGGTTAAGAGCACTGACTACTCTTGCAGAGGTTCAACCTGGGTTCGATTCCCAGCACCCACATGGCGGCTATGAACCATCCTTAACTCCAGTTCTAGGGGAATCGACGCCCTCTTCTAACCTCCACGGCATTGCACAACATGGGTGCACTCACATACATGCAGGCAATACACTCATACACATAAAATAAAAATAATAAAAAAAATTTTTTTTTAAAAGCTGTCACATTTACATCCAAATTTTATACCCCATGAAATCAAAATGGGGGGGTGCTGGAGAGATGGCTTAGTGTTCAGAGCACTGGCTGCTCTTGCAGAGGACCCAGGTTCAGTTCCCACCACCCACAATGGCGGCTAACAATGTTCTATGACTCCAGTTCCAAGGAATCTGATACCCTCTTCTGACCTCCACGGGCACTGTATGACGCGGGCACACATGTGTACATGCAGGCAATACACTCACACATAAAATAAAAATAATAAAAATATCTTTTAAATATTTAAAAAAATCAAAATGGTGGAAGGTAATTAATAAAGGTCAAAAAACCCTGGCAATTGCCAGGCATTGTGGCTCATGCCTTTAATCCCAGCACTCTGGATGCAGAGACAGGTGGATCTCTGCGATTTGAGACCAGCCTGGTCTACACAGTGAGTCCCAAGCCACCTGGAGCTACAGGGAGACCTTACCTCAAAAAGACAAAAAAAAAAAAAAAAAAAAAAAAAAAAATCCTGGCTAGGGAAGAAAAATTTTTTAAAGCAATGCACCCACTGACCGAATGAGACTCCCAGACTCCTTGTCCCTTGCAGTCTCTCTAAGGCAAATCAGCCACAGGTTTAGAATACCTGTCTCCACATCTGAAAAACTGACATTTGACCAACAGTCCAAATAGGTCCATCCCTGATGGCCTCATTTTTTCAGGGAAAGTGTTCAGTGCTCGGCTTACAGACCCTGGCTCTCACAGAAACATGTGGAATTTGAAAGATATAGGGTGGCCATCAGGTCTGGGAACAGAAGCAAACAGATAATGGCTTATTCGGTAATATAAAATGATAACCAATTGTAACTAATAGTACAATCAATCTCCCTCTGGTGGGACTTAAGAGGTACCAACAGCAAAAGCAGGAGAGGAGTCTCTAAGGAGTGTCACTCAGACCTAGCCACACCTACTTACTCACCTTGGAGATGGAGTGTCAACCCCTTCCTCTCCACTTGTACCTGTAGCCAGGAACACACTCTAGGACACAAGGCCATACATACATGGGCAGATCCACTCAAAAAGACCCCACAGCAAAAGATACTCAACAAAATAAAGCCTCAGCACAGAACTGGTGAAAAAAGAAATGCTAACCTCACACAACCACCTTTCTGTTTAAACAGAAAGGCTAACTTGTACAATGCCCACTCAGAGAGGGAGCTGGGCATGCTCTCAAGGTTCTCCAGCCCTTTAATAAACTGCAGCTGATCAGCAAATCCCAAAGCCATCTACTCCATTCCACATGGCCACATGGAGCTTTATCTGCTCAAAGCCTGGAAACCTGTAAGTAGATAGAGAGGTTAAATCTCAGAAATATAAGTAAACCCTGCTAACTTCACCAAAAAACATCAGCTGATTTCTGGTATTGAGTACAGGGATTCTGATAACAGCAATGAGGAGCTCCGAAGAGACCTAACAGATGAGTAGACAGGAACTTGGCTAGGGTCTCGGTTTCAGTAGTATTTCTCCTGGAAACTGTCATATCTTTCCTAACCCCTCCTGCAATCATCTACTGCAGCTAAGACTCTACAGCATTTCACTCTCACCAAGCTGCCTGTCCCTTTGGCTTTTAATAGCCTCTTCTGTCACTCTGCGTTTCCAGGGGCTAACATCATGCCTGGTAGGGAATGGCTTGGTATTTACTGGGCAACGTGTATGAGCTTCATTTGCTCAGCACCAAGATGCTCAGTAGAAGAAGCTGGTGAGCTGAACTCTACTAACTGCTTTAAAAGCACTACCCCGCAACTCTTCTGATGGGGTAGGAAAGTATACAGCTTAATAATAGCTCTGAAACACTAACTCTTGAGTCAGATTCATGAGAGTCCCCCATCCCCATCCTTGTCATTTATTAGCTACATGGTCTGCAGAGCCATGGGCAAGTTATTAAATCTATTTCTCATGGTCATCCCTAAGTTAAGGAGTAGTAACCATATTCCTTTCCAGTTAGCCTGAGGATCTAAGAACCTGGAGTATGTGGCAGAGACAAGCTCAGGACTCAGAATAGATGACTGATCAGGATTATCAGTTCTTCCCTGGAAATAAGCTATGGGGCAAATTTTGCCCATTGTTGCAAAGAGGCCATGCTTCATTCTGAATTTCTCAGAAGCTGTGTTACAAATCTGCTTTGGGATGTTCTAAAGATTAAGTTGGCCCTTTGCTACCTAAATATAAATTCTACTTTGAATATAGAGAATTAAAAAAAAAAAAAAAAAAAAAAAAAAAAAAAAAAAAAATGCTGCCTATGGCTCTGATTTTTCATTGTTTTATCACTGCTTCACAGTTTCCAGGGATACATCTTCATGGATGGTTTCCATCAGGAAAAGCCATATGGGCCCAGCTGAGGGAAACTGGGGACAGCAGCTACACTGGTGCTAGGACCTTAGCATGAGTTTGAAAGGAGAGGCTTTACTGGATGCCCATTTCCAAACCAGAGAAGGCAGGCAACAGGTCCAACTCCCTGCCTTCTGAGTTTCCTTCTCCCCTGCACCCACCTCACACTGACCTTTACTTTGAACAGTCTAGATCGCACTCTTTTTCTCCATAATAGTTTAATTTTTTTTAATCTTATGTGTACAAGTGTATTGCCTGCATGTATGTGAGTGCACCCACATTGTACAGCTGCAGAAGTCAGAAGATGCGTCCAATTCCCCTGGAACTGGATTTAAGGACAGTTCTTAGCCGCCATGTGGGTGCTGGGAATTGAATCTGGGTCCTCTGCAAGAGCAGTCAGTGCTCTTAACTGCTGAGCCATCTCTCCAGCCCCAATAGTTTTAATTTTTAAATCAGTCTCAGACTAAGATGTGCCTTCTGCTGGAGGCAATCTAAGAGCAGGGAAATCTGCGCTTTACCTTTATCTGCACCAAATACTATTTTCTTTGAAAAAAAAAACTGAGGCATAATTTACATTAAACACTGAATTCACACATTCTGGGCACACAATTCAAGGTTTTCGAAAGTTTACAGTTGCTCAGAAATCCCCACAATCCAGTCACTATCCCCCTGTCATCCCTACCACCCTATCACCTCCGAGAAGGGGTGGTATGTGCAGCATAACAAACCTCTCCCCCACTGGACCTGAGGAAGGGTAAGGAAACGGAAATCAAAACCCAGCACCATGGACAGCTTTGCTGTGGCTCCATTAGTGGGTACTGACTGACTCCTGGGGCTTCTGGGATTTCAAGTGCCACCCTTCTCCTTTCCTGGGAAAAATTAATGAAAACAGAATTCGTAGTAGGGCCTAGAGGTATGAGTCTCTGGCCCTGCACATCCTGTTGCCACACTAGAAGAATCTCTGATGCAGTCACAATCAGGGTGGGACAGACAGGCCCACAGTGAATCCTTTGTTTTGGACATTCTAGGCCACACTTTCTCCATAAACCTGTGTGTGTGTGTGTATATGTACATGTATGCTGGTATGTGTGGAAGTCAGAGGACAACTCTGTGGAGTTGGCCTCAGATCATGAGGTTTGTGCAGCAATTGCTTTTACCAGCTGAGCCATCACACTGGCTTTTCCCCAACTTTAAAATGTCACTTTCTTTTAAATCTCATAAATGTCTTCAACATAAAAATTTTTGGTTTTCCAGTCTCAGTAAATCTTTTAGGAATTCTCTCTGAAAAGCTTAATTCATTATCTGTTTGCCTTCACTTTACCGTCACTTGCTGAAGTCGTATTAGTTTAGTATGTAAGGCAGTTACAGTTCAGAGTTCCAAAACTGCCTCTAGAAAACTCACAGATTCAATAAGACTTTTTTCCTCAATTATTTCAGTATCCAGTCAGTTGTTCATAATCCTGAAGTAGTAGTGACTATTGGGAAAAGAAGAAAGCACCTGTCAGCAAAAAAGGGGAGGGAGGAGCAGCACTGGTCCTTAGAAGTGTGGCCTCCCACCAGCAGTTGCTATACCCTATGGGAACTTGTTAGGAGAGTAAACTCCTAGTCCAGACTGACTGGATCAAGGCACCCAGGAGTCTCTGATTCATGTTTAAATTCAAAAGACTTGGTTTACATGTAGTGTTACTGAACTACAGACCACATATAACCTGTACTTTTGAAACCCAGTCAAGATTTTAGAAATAACTGATTGAAAAAATACTTTAGCTCTAGTGATCCTCTCCAACCCTGACCCCCCAGGACATACCCCACTTACATTTATCATTAATGGGTATATTTTATCATTGGATGGGGCTAGTATTAGTATTAGACTTGCTAATGACCTGCAACCAAGCACTCCTGCTGCCTGTCATACAGTGCAGTCACAGGCATTCTGCATGCAGCAGAGAGCTCAGCGGTCAACCTTCCATCTTCAGAAACAAGGGGAGGATCCAGAGCTGTCATATGGCACTGACGACAGAGGGCTTTTTGCTGGTTTTTTCTTTTTTTTAAATTCCTATGCAAAAGAGATAGGAAGACAAACCTAAATAAGAAGCTATTCTGCACCAAGGAGCCAGACGGAAAAGGTGATGCTGGCACCTGCCTTTGCAGATTCCAACTCCAGCATCATGAATGTGTCCTATGCTCACCTCCACTTTGCAGGAGGGTACCTGCCCTCTGACTCCAAGGACTGGAGGACCATCATTCCTGCTCTCTTGGTGGCTGTGTGCCTAGTGGGCTTCGTGGGGAATCTCTGTGTGATTGGCATCCTTCTTCACAATGTTTGGAAAGGAAAGCCATCCATGATCCACTCCCTGATTCTGAATCTCAGCCTGGCTGATCTCTCTCTGCTGCTCTTTTCTGCACCTGTCCGAGCTACAGCATACTCCAAAGGTGTTTGGGATCTAGGCTGGTTTGTCTGCAAGTCCTCAGACTGGTTCATCCACATGTGCATGGCAGCCAAGAGCCTAACAATTGTTGCAGTAGCCAAAGTATGCTTCATGTATGCAAGTAACCCAGCCAAGCAAGTAAGTATCCATAACTGCACCATCTGGTCAGTGCTGGTGACCATCTGGGTTGTGGCTAGCCTGCTTCCCCTGCCAGAATGGTTCTTCAGTACCACCAGACATCTCGCGGGTGTGGAAATGTGCCTCATGGACGTGCCAGCTATGGCCGAAAAGTTCATGCCAATGTTTGGTAAGCTCTACCCTCTCCTAGCATTTTGTCTTCCTTTACTTCTGGCAAGCTTTTACTTCTGGAGAGCTTATGGGCAATGTAAAAAACAAGTCACTAAGACTCAAAATCTTAGAAACCAGATGCGTTCAAAGCAACTCACAGTGATGCTGCTGAGCATTGCCATCACCTCTGCTCTTCTGTGGCTCCCCGAATGGATAGCCTGGCTGTGGGTATGGCATCTGAAGGCTGGAGGCCCAACTCCACCACAAGGTTTCATAGCCCTGTCTCAAGTCCTGATGTTTTCCATCTCATCAGCAAATCCTCTCATTTTCCTAGTGATGTCGGAAGAGTTCAAGGAAGGCTTGAAAGGCATATGGAAATGGATGATAACCAAAAAATCTCCAGTTGCCTCGGAGTTTCAGGGAGCACCAGCTGGTAACTCAGAGGCCCTTCCTGACAAAGTTCCATCTCCAGAGTCTCAAACATCCATTCCAGAGAAAGACGAACCTGGCTCTCCCAACTCCAGCAAAGAGAAAATTGAAAAAGTGATTCCCATCCTCCCTGACGTAGAACAATTTTGGCACGAGAGGGATGCTGTTCCGGCAGCACAAGACAATGACCCTATCCCCTGGGAACATGAAGGTCAAGAGACAGAGGGTTGTGATAAACAGAATTAAGTTTAAAAGAAAAACAAATGTGGTTATTGTATTTACTTGTAATGCTGCTTATCAATATTGCTGACGTATTAAAATTATTAGGAACTGCAAAGAAAGATTCCATTCTGCATTTTCAAAATGTACAATCTGGTAAGTAGGATATAACAGTAATTATGCTTCAGAATTACAAGCTATGTCAAAGAACTCATTTAAGTGTTGTGTAGATACTACTGCCAAAGTGATTACCAGGTTCAGCTACTTGGTCCTCTGTTCACAGTGACTCTTCCACTGGGTATCCCTTAGGAACACTGTACTGTACTGGCTAGAGAAGTGTATCTGTGTCACAGATTGAACTCATTTATTTTATGAACCTGCTGACCATAATCTGTAAGTTAAGCAATATTTCATTTAAGCAAAGTTCAAAAAGTCTGCTTTGGCTTTTTAAGAGTGTACATTTTACTTAAAAGTTCTCTTTATCTGCTTAATAAAAAATAATTTACTTAAAGAAAAGTCCATATAATTTTCCTGAGCAAACTTTACAGAATAATCAGACACTACTTTCTTCCAACTCTGGGCTCATTTCAAACCATGGCTATTTTGGGCCTAATTTGAAGTAAATTCAAGTTCTACCTCACAGTATAAAAGCTGTTTCAAGTTGTTTAAAGTCACCTTAACAAATTCTCAATTCAAAGTCTGAGAATATCAGTAGCCTGCCATGGCATTCTACATTATAATGTAGAAAACAAACAATGTTAAAACCGCCCTTCCTTCCCTTGCAAATATAGCATTTTTTTACAGGTTGAAATTTTTTCTTTTCTCTCAAATAAGCTACAGTTAATGATGTAGGCATTAACTACTGATAAAAGGTACGCCTTGAAAATAAAGGAGAATGAAAGTGATGATTTTCTTGCTAAAAGGTATTAATTTTACCTGTAACAATCAACTTGAACCCTCCTCAATTTTTAAAATATTTCAGAGCTTTCAAGGTACAAAAAATAATCAAGAGTAACAGGGTGGCAAAGCAGAGAAAAAACCCCAACAAACATTAACATGCAATTTACTTAGAGCAGAAAATAATATTCATAAGGCAATGAAAAGCAAAAAGCAGTAACAACCCAATCTTGAGTTCCCAGATGTGGAAAATTTGAGTAGCTGGCAATAACCCCATTTTACACCAACAAAAAGCACATCCAAAACATAATGATATTATTTCCTCCCCTTGTAAACAAAAAAAGGATTATATATTCAGGATCACTTTGCTAATGAAATTCTGGGATTGTTCACTGTTGGGTCCCTCCAGGAAGAAAAATGTTTCTAAATCAAGCAATGGGACAATGTTCTGCACAAGGGATTGTTGGTAATGTTCAGTCGTGGGAGTTTGGGACTGTTTTCCTACAAAAGATGATGGTTTTTAACACAGCAAGATAAAGCTGCTTTCTTTCTTATATCTGGTTCATTATAAGTTGTATTTGATGCTCAAACATTCAAATAAAGTGTAATTTAACCCAAGAATTTAAAATAATTGTTTTGTTATTCCATAGTTATACAAGGGATTACCACTGAAATTATTTGTGATGAACCACTCACGGAAAACTTTCTACTGTGTGTACACAGAGTAAATACAGAATGTAAGCTTCTAATATTTCATATTTAACTTATAAATAAAGGTAATGTTTTACTTCAGATAGGTGTTAGAGAATTAAAGCTGTATCCTGAACTATCATTTCAAAATTACCACTTTGGAAAAAGAGGGTTTAGATTTGTAAGGTAGTCTGACCTTAATATCCCAGGCCTCAGGGTAAAGTACAGATAAGCACCACTTCAAGATACAGACACTGGAACAAAGTGTAACTATAGTGAACCTTTAAGAATGTTAGAGTCCTGATCTGATCCCTCTAAAAAGATACAAAGTAAAAACTGATTTGTACCTTATGTGAATAATCAAGCTCAAACAGTGGAAGACAAAAGTAGGAAACAAGAGACAATCAGGCCATTTTCTTCACTCTTCTCTACGAGACAGAATACAACTGAGTGGGTAGACACTACTATGTGGAACTGAGAATAACAAAGAAATGTTTTAAGGTAGTTAAATAGTTGGTTCCTTTTGGCAAGCACTCCAATTTCAGGCCTCATAAAACTTAAAAATCACTTAGTAAATTTATAAAAGCAAATTTCAAAAACAGGGGCAAAAACAATACAAATTCTGCTTACCAATTTCACAGGTTCAGACTGTAGTATAATCCATCAATGCTGGATTTTAACAGTTCACATAATTTCTATGATGCTTAATAGATTTAACCTAAGTACTAAGTAATATGGATGTAAATGTGTTAAATATAACATGCTGCTACTACTACTACATGTCAGTTGGTATTTCCTCTTTCTCAGTTTCGTTGACATCAAGGAATGTGGGAGACATGGGAAGATAAATTACCCTATTAACACTTACATCTCTCACGTATCTCATTTATGTGGCATCTGAAACTGACAACTTATGAGAATATAGGAGGTCACACACGTATGAATGGAAGGTAAAGCTAGAAAAGTTAACTGAGAATTAAAGGTAAATATGATATACATGACAGGCTGAAAGTATGTCAACAAGGCACAAAACTGGCATGTTAAAAAACAGAAGTCAAAAAATAATTCTAATATTCTTGTTATGAAGCAACAGGTATTAAAGAGCTTAATCTCCAAAGGGAATCGGGGAAAGAAAGAAAGAAAGAAAGAAAGAAAGAAAAGAGCAGGTTCTCTACAAAATTTCTTCTTTTATAGTGGAAAATACAGTACTGTACTCAAGCCTTTTTAAAAATTATATAATACTATTCAAGATTTAGATGTGCCAAATCTCAGATGTATTTTCTTCAAAAAGCAAGTTTTCTAATATATTATGCAACAGTAATCATATACAATCCACATATACAAAAAGAGTTGGTTTATTATAGTTCAAATACACAAACTGAACATTCAAACATCTTAAAATTAAACTTTAGAAACAAAAGTTCAACATTCAAACAGGAATAGAGTTTATGGGGAATACCCAGAAAGGCAATTTTGTTGTCTAATCCAGAATAATGATAAAGATCATTCAATGGAGAATAAAGTATGTTTAACCAGCAGTTCTACTCTGGCCAACACATGAGTTATGAATGTGGTTCCATACCTGAGAAGAAATTACTAAATAAATCTTCTCTTAGGCTAAACAACAAGACTTGGCCTAAAACTCAGAGGGGATAATCAAAGCACATAAATGAACAAATACAACTAAACTGTTCTTTAGAGACAAAGGTATAAGTATGTTCATTATAATATCCTTCGTCTCTGGAAGAATTCAATTCAGTGTTTTCTCTTTTACCCGCTTAAAAAACAAAATCAAAACAAATCCCAATTTCGGTTTTCTTGGGAGTCTGTGGTATTTGCATCTTGTAAGTTCAAACCACAAATGCTCCTGTCTTGCATGTATAACACTGCTAGTAATAACAGTGAGTTATAAGTGTGGTTCCATACCTGAGAAGAGATACTAAATAAATCTTCTCTTGGGCTAAACAACAAGACTTGGCCTAAAACTCAGGAGATAATCAAAGCACATAAGTGAACAAATGCAACTAAACTGTTCTTTAGCGACAAAGGTATAAGTATGTTCATTATAACATCCTTAGTCTCTAGAAGAATTCAATTCCGTGTTTCCTCTTTTACCCACTTGAAAAACAAGATCAAAACAAATCCCAACTTCAGTTTTCTTGGGAGTCTGTGGTATGTGCATCTTGCAAATTCAAACCACAAATGCTCCTGTCTTGCATGTATAACACTGCTAGTAATAACATCACCAAGTCACTGGCTTCCACACCTCATAAAAGGATGACTTTTAGCTTCAAGATTTTAAATTTACTAGAGACAGACTATATTTGAGTATGTATGTCAGTCATGCCACACAAAGAAAAGCATAAATATTTTCAAAGTGTTCTGTTCAGAGACTGTTCACAAATGCTTCTCCTCCTGTTCGTCAGATGGTTTTGCAACAGGTTGACTAATGCACATATATGTAAAAACCTGAAAATTGGCTCATGCAAGCATTTTGAATTAAGTGATACCCCATGGAAGACTATTTAGAATTATTTTGTCGATCGTCTAGTGGGCTCTGATGCTGTGGGAGGTGGGGGTGGACCCCGGCGATCCAGGTCATCAACATACGCCACGATCAGTTTTCGCCGCTCCTCTGGTACACAGTCCAGTACTAGATACCGTTTGTCATTCTGCAAAATTTTTTCTACATCTTTCAGGTGTTGATCGGATTCTTGGATTAGCTTTTTGGATCTGAAATAAAAAGAAGTACAACAGTTGCTGACTGCTGTTCACTAGTCTTTCAGAAATGAGCTGGAAATGTCCATCTAGTTCCTAATTGTGTTTCCATTTTTTTTTTTAAAGAAAAATTTCACTGCAGCAGTCACCTTTGTAAGTCGCCTCAGCAAAGACTCCAAGGAGTGAAAGGGCCTCAGAAGCTGAATTACCCTCCCACCCCTACTGGTGGTCCCTCCAGATCAGGGCTGAGGGTGGGTGGGTAAATCTTGCCCGTGCTGTACCTGTTCTGTGGATGAACAGAGGACTTCAGTCTGCGGGGCTGCCAATCCCAGCATCTTTCACAAGCTTTCACTTTCACATCTTTCACTAAATTAACTATAAAAATGTAGAAAGAAGTCTTACTTCACATCTAATTTAAAAGCCCAAGCTGATGCAAAACATTAAGGATCCTGACCAAAAAAATCCAATGACAAAATACTTAAAAACCACACCCTCAGCTCTACCTATCCTCCCGTGCACATACCCTTCATTAAGATGTTTCAAATTTTTATTTTAAAGAAATGCTGGAGCACGAAAAACTTGGTTTCCTATGTACTGATTGGTAAGCAATGCAAAATTGTTTTCTTGGTGATAAACTGCTGATTGGTGGAAGGCTACTAGGTTTGCTACTCCAAAATCTTTAAAAAAAAAAAAAAAAAATGTATCCAGTAAACTACTTTCCT